ATCGACGATAATGTTAACGATCAAATTTGCAAATTTTCATGATATTTTGGAAAACAATCCATAATCGGTTGTTATAATATTAGTTTCTCAAGGGTATATTTAAATTGGATAACATATGGAATATATATAAGAAGATAGGAAATAAATACCTCTGGTCGGTTTTCATTTACACATAGCTTTTTCAATATATTTAGATACTGCAATTATTAGCTTCAATTAAAGAAATAATAAATAATAATTATTAAAAACGTTACCCACCTCGTAAGCAAGAAATCATTAGCACAACGTTATCACCATAATATTTTATAACATGTAACATTTGCAAATATGTAGTTCTTAATGTTGTTTACAACGTTAGTGTTAACAATACTTGACCCAAACATTAAAAATAATATTTCTACACTATAATTTTCATATTTAGGTACATTATATCATCAATTAATAATTCTAAAGCATCTATAAAATATTACATCAAAATATTGATAAAATCCACATGAAATGAATGTTTCAAAAGATCGATTTAAAGTTGTTTACTTATGGGGACGGGACAGTCTAAGATCTGTATTCCAAATTCCTTTTTGTCGACAAAAGTACCTTAAACGTGGCTTTTCAGCCAATCAGATGGTTCTTAAGCTAGTTTAGAGGCACATTGGTAAAAGAGAGTACAGAATACGGTCCTAAGTGTTAACACTAAGGATTGACGGACGCTTGTCTGCCGCCGTCTGGACGGCCTAATAGCGGGAAACACCTTTACGACATCCTCACCCTCCTGCGAAACGCATAGGCAACCATCGTTTCTCCAGAGATGTAAAATTTCGACGCGGCTTTCCATCCATGCACGCCACAAAGAACCGCTGTCCCGTTCATTATTCTATTCCGCGTTACACGCGTCCTCTCTCATATCTATCATCCCGACGAGGACGCGCGGTCGGTGGCTCGCGAAGCGAGAGGCAAAAATTCGCCGAACCTTTATTATCCTTTACCGAAGAATCATTTGCGTGGCGGTCACACGCGGAATCTATCGATTTCCGATAGCGCGCAACGAAAGAGTTTACCGCGGAACGACTCGGAGTTTCATCCTTCGGATGTTCGCGGCGCGCGCAGGAGAAGGCGAAACGCGGATGCGTCTCTTTCCATTGGATTTCCCCGGGTGCTCTTTACGGCTGGAGGAAAATTTGGCGCTTCGGGTATTCGTCTGCAGCGCTCGCGCGTCGCGCAGCTCGTTTATTTAATCAAGTCGAGAGAACAAACAACTTACGCGCGGCGCTCGAAGGAGCAGCCCGTCGAGACTGAGAGCGTAGCGACGCGCGCGCTTAATGGCCGGCCCGGCAAATAGACATTTAATTAGAGGAACTCCCTCGTTTTGACAGTTTTCACAGGCGGGGAAACGAGCCGGAGAAGGGCACCAGCGGTGGTGCCACTGCTGAGCGACGATGTGCAGCTCTCGGTCGACAAATACAGAAATAAGCTCTACGCGATGATGGATGATAAGCATCGCAAGCGCAAAAACATGTGAGCATATTTACTCGCGGGCACGCGATTATTGTTTCACGCGGCGTATAAGGGCTCCGCAGAATTAGCGCTTTTGACGCATATATGGGACAGCTAAGTGTCAGACAGCAATTTTATCCGAATTTCACAAACTCATCGGAGAATTTAATTCCGCATTCTGTACGGACGCGTGTGTGTACGCACGTGTACGCCGCGCGCAGGTACATTGCAATTTACTGTCAAAGGCATCCCCCGCTCATTTTCGAGCTTTACTTTCAAACGATGATGACGGAGATGTATTCAGGTGATAATTATCGGGGAATGTACGTTTTGCGTTTGCATGTATCGTCTGGTACGTGCGATAACTATTTCCGTCGGGTCGACGATTGTCTCGCAGGACAAGGTCCAGACTGCGACGACTGTCCGGGAGCATCAGAAAAGAAGCCACCGGCGCCAAGGCGACGCGATCGCCGGTAAGTTACGTGCCGGACGAGTAAAAAGTTTCTCACCCACGTAACATTATTAAGGTAGTTGTAGCTTGTAAAATGGGTTTTCCTAAGAATTCGCTGGAACTTGCACTGTATACAGATTTCAATATGATAATCGTTGGCGCAATTAGAAAATGATTGTAAGCTGAGATATTCGCAACTAAAGATGACATTTTCTTATATATATTAAATCAACCTTTTAACAATTGGCAAAACATCTGTATTATATATACAACATTTCAGTTTCGTTAAGCTATTACCGCGTTGGCTAAATTGTGGAATTTCGCAATTCCTACGTCGGATTGTTAATCCGACCTGATTTTTGCTGAATTTCACCCGATCGCGGTTTGTCGAAAAGAACTCACGTTGAAGAAACTCGTGGTCTTTTCTTTTTAGATGAACTGGCTACACCAGTTCGAAAAATTTTACGCAGACCGAAGCGTGAGAATCTCGTACATATGTTTCATGTGTTTCAATATAAATTTCTTGAACAACCAGCTAAGCTCAGCTAAGAAGAACAGACCACCGGTTCTCTTTACTCGGTTGTTTTCCAGTTACCTTGTTTTTATATTTCTTGTTTCTTTCCAGCGTGTTGCTCATTGCCAAATAAGAAGACGATCAGACCGCCTCAAGGCGACGGTACCGTGCGCGTTACTCAAACGCGAATAATTAATGCTTCCGCAGAGACGCCGATGCAGGAAGCTTTAACGAATTCTCGGCAGAATGGTAAGGGTCTCGTAACAATGACGTCTTCTTCAACTTCGAGTCTTCGCTTCAACTACAGAGCTACGATCGCGCACGTTTGTTAGATTCAACTTCGAACGGAGTCCGCTTACGGCGGTAATACGTTTTCTTCTTCTAAACGCCCACGCGATTCGGAAGTTTTCGGCAAAAGCAAACAGGGTTTTCCGGCTAGGAATCTAAGTAAACGTATCGCTCTGATTCTCACAATCAACCTCGGGGAATAAACGCCCACTTGTGTAATTTCGCGCGTCACACCGGTGCGCGAGTGTCCCGGTCGATATGTGAAGCCTCCGTCGCGAAATGTCCTCTTCCCTCTCACTTCAGACGTATAAATCCCAAATTCCCAGCGTTTTATCCAGCATTGTCCTTCCATCACTGATTATTTAGTGAACTCTTCGCATCAATTCGTGCTCAACGAAGTCCTTCGGGAGACATCAATAGCTGTTTAATTAAAAGCAATCAGAGCTACATGCCGATACAATTTGTTCCAATTTTTTTTCATGCCTATTTTCATCAACGCGATATAACGTAGAGTTCTATTAATATACGCTCTTTCGAAATTTCTCAGAGTGGAATCTCGCTCAACACGAGTGAAAAGTGGTGGTATTTTCATTCGAAGCGATAATGAAAATACAGCCACTCGGGATCGCAAGAGTGAATATTTCACTCAAGCTCAGAATGGACTCTGACTCCGTACGAGTGAATGTTTCAATCGATTGGAGTGAATTGTTCCCGTGACGGTGGAAAACATCAGATCCATTTTTCAGTTACAAGTGGAAATATTCATTCGACGATTCAAAGTGAAGGGTTCACTTTGTATGAGCGAAAGATCAATCGAGTTCGAGTGATTCGGTTGTCGCTCTATTTTCCGAATAAAACTTAACTCCAATATAAAACTTAACTCCAAGAAATTTGGAGAGTAAAATGGGATAAATATAGTCATTCTATATTTTGTAACGCGCCTGTGATGTCAAAAACTAGATTCATCTACAAAGACAACAGAGAAAAACTCTTTCTTTAGATTTAGCATACATGTTTGTTTGACTTAAGTTTATTTAATATAAACAATACCAAACACCATTTTGTTTGAATGAAAATGTTGTTTCACTAGAATAAACATATGAGGCACGTATTATTTAACGTAAAGATATATTGCTTGAGAAATCAAACAATCCTGTTTGTTGGATCAAACATTCGTTTATTTGCTCCATTCCAAAAGACAAATTTGTTTCAATTAAAGAAATCTTATCAAAGGAAATCTTTTCTCTACGTATTCTAATGAATATTCTGATCTCTATTTTACTAACAGTTTAATAACTAATTTCATCTATTCTATAATAATTATTAATGCCCGCATATTTGCGATCAATCGGTAGTTAAGAACGGTAGCGACACAGTACACGTGCAATCTAACGAACGGCAGTCTGGGAAGCTTACCTGCCGCAGCGGCGAAAAGCTGTTACTACCTTAATCAGCAGCAGCAACAGCAGCAGCAGCAACAGCTTAAATTGTCCAACTCTCAGCGGTCCATACAATCGGATCAGATGGCAATGGTGAGCGTAACACTGGTTTTCTGGTTTAATTCTCCCTTTTTCTCCGGCTGTGCGCTCTCTTTGCCGGCCGCTTTTCTCATTGCGGCTCGCATTATAGTAGGAAGGTAAATGGTGGATTCTGTTATTGCAGGCTACGTGTCGCGTGGGATTTGCGTTTAGATACTGTAACCACTCATCCGTGCAACTCACGCATACACACACGTGCACAAATATAGGTGTACTGTATGAGCATGCATCTCTAATTTATCCACGCCAGTTCACAGCCACGTTTGACCATTCGCTCGCGAGTAAATGGTTAACTCCGCAACAACGCCTAACGAAAAATGTTAACACGTTCGTTACTGTGTCATGTGTGACCGATCTCTCATCAGAAATCAGCGTCACACGTAAATGCGCGACACATTGTGAGAGATACTTGTCTGCACGGAAAAAAATATTATTTTACCGCGAAGAAAAGCAATTACTCAGTTTATTTTCTTTTTTAAATAATGGTTATGTTGAACAAAGAATGTTTTCTTGACAATAGTGTTAAAATACACTCATCATAAATGAGAAATACACTCATCATAATTAGAAAACTTGTTATAGTCAAAAGAAGAATTTGTTCTCTTTTCAAGAATATCAGGGTTTCATCGAGGAAAAGTTAAATTCAGTTTAACCGGAACAAGTAAACCGAAATCTTAGGTTTAGTGTTTTAATATAATATTCTTGATTAAGGTATCAAATTCATTAGGATACGGGATGTATTTTGAATAAATTTCATCGCTGTAAGCTACTTCGAATTTAACACGTTCGCTACCAGTAAGTTTGTTTCGTAACTCTTTACCACAATATCGTTAAAAGTTACAGAATAAATCTGCAGGGTTTATATGGAAAACTCCCCTAACAAACACCTCGTATTTTTATTACATAATTGTGTAAAACAGACTGATTGATAATATGGACGTGGAAGAAAATTTTGCCGTTGCACATGTGGGACTGATCTCTCGTGAGAGATCGTTGCGTTGCACGCGTGTGATTGATAAACGAATGTGTTGAGTATGTAACAAGGCGACGGGTTACTACTCGTCGTTTGCAATTCGCGAAGGTAAACGGACATCAAGCGGCGATGTGCGGTCAATTTTCGCAACGCGAATTTTTGAGAACGCGTGAGCATCGTCGCGAAATGTCGCGTCGTCGCGTTAATTTGCGACGCGCAAGTACGGAAACGCCGGAGACCTTTCCGACATTGCGTTATTATCGCGAGGTTAAATGTAAATGCTCCCTCGGCTTCCGTCGTGTAAGAATGAAGAGAGAATGAGATGGATGGAGGGTGAGAGAGGTTGGCGATGCAGTTTGTCATATTTATCTCGTGTACGACTGTATCTGACTGTACGTAGACTTGTCTCATATCTGACGCTGACACACACTCTCTCTCTCTCTCTCTTTTCCTTCTCTTTTCAAGCTCAAGCGCGCTTATATAAAAAGTTATGATCGCATTATCCAGATGGAAACACAGTGGTAGTGTACGACATTGATAGATATGCTATCCAAATTAGTCACAATTTCGTTCAACATCGTTTCTGGGTTCCCACATCAAATCTATAAGTATCAGAATACATAAAAATAGCTAATCTCATTAAAATTATACATAATCATTTTCGCGAAATATATTTTCTTCGTCGTTCTAACAAAATAATATATATATATAGTAGCAGCAATAAATATTTTAGATTATTACCACTACCACTATCTAACAGCACCCACTGCAAAAAAAGACTTTTCTAACTATAATTATGTCACTATGCCAATGTAGTCACAAAAATCGAGCTTTTTTTCAGTTTTAAAATGATGTTGACGTATCTGTGTGTTGCACGTAACGCTGTCAACCAGACTTGCTTATTGCGTACTCATGCATGCGATTATTTCTACTTTAACGAGCCATTATATATTTTTGTTCGCAATTATTATATCGCCTAGCCCTTTTTAAGTACACTGAAAGAAAAACTGCCACATTCAAGTAAATATTTATCATATTTATATAAGGAATATTGGAGCGATCACTCGAATGTAGCACATTGGAAGGAAAAAAATGTCACATTCAAACAATATTCAGCTAATTCAAGTAAGATAATTATTCTAATACTCCGCGGCAAATATTTACTTGGACGGCTTCGAGATACGCAAATAGTCTTATCAGCGTCGCATTTCCAGCGAGAAAAACGAGCCGCTCGAGCGGACGTGCGATGAATGTCACTGATGATGTTCGCAGGCTCGGATCTTCTCGCTAAATGCGCGCTATTATACCGTAAATAATCCGTGTCACCCGCTCACCCGCATTTGCTCTCTTTTCACGAGTAAACCCGTTAATTGCCGCACATCAAGGTCGCAATCTACGTACACGCTTCTCTCTCTCTCTCTCTCTCTTTTTATTTCCCTCTATCTGTCTGTTTCCGTATACATGTTGCCGCGATCACGATTTCACCGCGCTTGATGTTCCCCCGCTGGATGTTCCAATTTCAGTACGGCGCCGGAGGCAGATCGAATCAATTAGCGGCATCAGCACCTCGCGTCAAGCTGCGAAGGGCTTGCCAATAGCAACAGCATCATCAACATTACCAACTTGCTCAGCGACCCTTCGTCTCGCGAATTGCCGCGGCCCAGGACGATGCCGGCCACCAGGATCAGCAACAATCCCAAGGGCAGTCTCAAGCAGCGATGGTCACGTCGACGGCCTCGGCGTTGCCCAGCAACGTCACTCGGCACTTTGTCAGGACCATGAACGGCGGTTACCTCAGCAACCCGGAGTCGTCGTACGTCAGCCACCATCAACAGACCATCCGCGACTACCTGAACCAGACGATGCCGTTGCCGGCGCAACGACACTTGCGAGCGCGAGATCGAGCGATCTACCAGGCCACCGGTGGCAGGAACAACCTCGTCGACAGATCGTGCACCGTCGCCGCGGACGTCGGCACGACCGGCGATCATCGTCGTGCTGCACGCGGTCAAGGTGGCAGGTTGCAGGAGAGGCGCAGCGTCGACGCCGGCTGCATCGGCCAGCGGAAGTTGTCCTCCACGTGCGACGGGTTGAAGTTCTTGGACAGTAGCAGCCAGAGGCACGGCGTGATAGCCGCGTCCGTCTACAAGGAGCTCTGCAATGGGTCTATCGGGGTGGTGAGCGCGCGTGTGGCGGGGGCGTTTCTCGGGGGCGAAGAGCGACGATTGGAACGGGACGGTCGCGGGTCGCTTTGTTCTCGAACGAGATCCCGCGGCTCGAGAGCGTGGGGAGTTCAAGCACGCGTATGTGGGGATTTCTTTTTCTTCTCTTTCGCCGACGAGGACCTTTACACGTGCGCGACGAAGCGTCCCGGGGGATTTTTTTCCCATCTGTACGCGACCGGGGGATAAATCGAGCCCTCTCGACTTACGCTTCCGAAGGAGACGCGGAAGATTACAGAAAATTTCTGCACTTATTCCGACGGAAGAGAGATTGTAATCTGGAATGTGTGTGTGTGTGTATTCGGCGAGTGAATTTTTATAGGAAATATTTGCCTTCTGCAATCCCCACACCGCGGCGTGAGGAGTCATTTTTGTAATGGCGGTTTTTACGAGACGGGAACAGTGGGTGCGCGCGTGTATGCGTGTATGTATGCGTGAAAATAAAATTAATGTCAATTCAAGACTCGCATTTTTATACAAAGCAAGAATATATAATCTTATATGGAGATAAAACTTGCTCTTATACATGAAGACATTCTATATAGTTCCATTAAAAATATCATATTCTTGCCATTTCGGAATAATTTTTATTCAAGGGAAAAAATATTGGACAGAAGAAAACGGTATCTTTAAACGGTCTTTAAACTGATACAATTTCTGGTTTGGAAGATATCGTTCTTTTTATCCAATATTTTTCTCTTCGATTTATGAGAATTATTCTTGAATAACATAAATCTATTGTTAATGGAATTATATAGAATTTCATGCATAACAGCGTTTTATCTTTCTATAAGATTATATATTCTTGATATATAAAAATGTGAGTCTTGAATTGATACTAACGTTGTTACTGTCTGTGCAATTCTATTCGGCGAGAACGGATTCGCGGAAATCATCGTCGGATGATGGTTCGCTTCCGCCAACGTTGACTAGACCTTAATCCGAGCTTTAACTCTCGTCAAAACGAGAACTCAAATTCAGATTAAGATTTAATCAACGTTGATAGGAACGAACATACGAAGAATCAATCATGCGGTCGGCTCGCGAATGATCTTTTCGGGATTCGTTTGTTCATCCTCCCGGAAGCGAGAGTCGCCTGGGGCGCGCCAACAGCATATGGTTCCTAAGTAAATAAGCAAATTTTGTACGATGCGAATGTATAATTAACGCTACCGAGTGTGTCGCGCGCCTCTCATCACTTCCGTTTCCCACGGGGATCAACGGTTTTCGCGGCTCCGGCCGGTGAGCGCCCGAAGTAAAGTTCGCTAGTAAAAACGATCCCTCTATAGCTCCCTCTCTCTCTTTCTTTCTCTTGCAGTTTCTAAGGCCACGACTACCTCAATTCTTTATATAACGTAAAGTATCGGAAATACGAAATGTGGGAGATGAGCGTTCGGACACGTATGCAAATGCTCACCTTCTCCTTATCGCTCTCTATTTCTCGCGCGCGCCAGTTCGATGAAGAAGATGTGTGACAATAACCGTGAATAACCGCGGGGATTCTACTACAAACGGAAAGTTCAATTCATTTTCGATAAATAAGAGGAAACTAGGACGTAATACGGAAATCGCGCGGGGCCTCCCCGGGGCGGAGATCGGCCCGTGGGAATCCGGAGAATACGTAGGAAGCTTAGGATATAAGGCCGAGTTAGTGGGGCGCACACCGATGATATATTCCGAGTTGACATACACACACACGCACACACGGCGGGGCCATAGCGGACCGCGCGCGACACACATTTTTCTATATTTTATTTATATGTCCGACGTGGGCTATGTCGGCGAACACGTACACCGTACATTATACATATCGTATCCGGCAGTCGCCTCGATATACAAATTCCATTAGATCATATACCTTTGTCGCAGTTGTTCGTGATGTGCAATTCCTTTGTGCGCACCAATGGCGTGTGACTTGTGGTATACTGTACATGGCGTGTTATGCAAATAAAATTTTTCACAATAACGGACCAGACTTACCGGGTGTGTTCACTACCCTCGCAACACTCGAACATCGTATTAAGATTATAGAGAGGTTACGATCTTACACAATTTTAATGAGAATGTTACTGATATGTAACCATTAACCTTACAATATAATCTTACGTTGTAATATTGTCGGAAGGATAATGGAATCTTGTTTCAATATTTCAGTAACCTTACGCGCAATCATCTCACATTTCACGTATGCTGGAAATATTACAGAAACTATGACGTATGGTTTAATATTAATAATTGAATTTGATATGCGCGTTTTCGTATTTCGAAAATTAACTTTCTATTTATTCAGAAATTCGATTAAATTTAACTTACTAACTCAGTAGATTGTCTGCGAGGTTTCTTATTGAAAAAAAAAAGAAAAGAAGATTCAACTTTTCAACTATTGGCAAAGAACGAACGATTGAAAATTATTGGAAACCAATAACATTTAATTGATACTTCGCTAATATTCAAATAGGCCAATGTTTCTTTTTGCAAGGGCTCCTTATCAAAAATGATATTAGAAGGTCCTTGGCATATTGTATGAATATTAATACCACGTTGTCCTACAAGGATTTCTGGTATTTCAATGGAGTGAGTTTGGATGAACATTTTTATGTTATTGGGAGGTTAATGGCGGGTTTATTAATCCCCATGAAATGTTACTATCTTATACTTTAAAGTTACTGTAATCTTATTGGGATGTTGATGTGCTGTGAGGGTAGTTGCGCCTTTTCTTCGGCGTAATCGTCAGACTAATGCTAACGACCGGCCGACTATTATTACCGATTAAATTAATACTCTCATTAATTTCCAATCCGATTTTAATACGTTTAATTACAAACGCGTTTGGTATGTACATAAAGAGCGATCGCGTTAAACATTTTGGCGTCGCTCCTATTCGCCGTTTAATGCTTTAATTGTTAATACCGAAGTAGTTTTAATTGAGAGTTCGGTTCGCCGTGCAAATGCGAACTTCCGTCTGGGGAATATGAGCATGTGTGTATTGCTGTGAATTTGCGCTCGGATTTATTCGAATGGGGACTGCTGCGCAGGATGTTGGAAAATTACTGCGCTGTCAGCGAGCGTAGGGCCGGTGCCCAGAATTCGAGCGACAGGACGGACTGGAGAATCCGAAGAGAGATCCGCGGAAGATCCAAAAAGAGTCGGAAGACAGGAAGAGCAGAATAATATTTAGAAAGAGAGACCGAGAGAAATAGAACTCTCTCGCCCTCTCTTTCTCTCTTTCCAAATATTATTCTGCTCTTTCTGTCTTTTGGTTCTTTTCAGAGCTACCGCGGCTCTCCGAGGAGAAATCGCCCCATTCCATCCTGGCTCGCCATCGAACGAATCGGACAACCCCTTTTCATTTTCCGTCCGACGTGATAATGCGCGCCGCTCGATGTTTCCTCGATGAGCTCCGGACAGCCCCAGGGTCGACGAAGGGTAATAGCGGCTCGTCCCCCGGATCTACGTTCCTCGTTGCCGTAAAGGCATACCGCGTTCTTTCCTAGGACAGAACAACGCAGACATCGACCGCATGGAGTCTTCCCGCCTGGCGTCATCCACCTCCGCTACTTTCTCGTCGTATAAAGAGATACGTCACGTACATGCGAAAGCGTGTTATGCACATTATAACGTCACACGGTCAAAGCGGCCGCGAATGTCGTCGACGATTACATACTTTCCGAGTCAGGTCGTTCTGCAAAGTGACCTTAGAGAGAGATTAACGGGAATTCCGCTCGCAAAGTTGCGCCCACCCGTGATCCTTGAATCCGAGATCCGTTCGTGCGTCGAGTTTCTCGTCCGCTTCTCTTTGACTTCCTAATTAATTGTGGAATGATAATGATGACATGACGAAATTATAATTATATTAAAATAAATAAATATACCAATAATACAATAATACAATGTACCGCGATAATAATAAAATATAACAATAAATAAATACAATAAAATAGATACAATAATAGATAATATACAAAAATTAATATAAGGAGAAAAAGTATTAATAAAAGGAAGCAATTATAATATAATCAGTAATGAGGATAACAAAACAATGAGGATATAATAATAATTCAAATAATTTGAACGGATCACGCAATGTCATCCTTTGATAAGGATCAAGAAGCACTACGTAATAGGGAGCGATATTGTTAGCAGTGTGAAAGCTTTGTGACTTGCAACTTTGTGACTAGAGCTCTGAGGTAAGCAAAGAGAGTAAGAACGACGGGCAAATAAGAACGTTGCATTGAATACTGCCGGAGCTTCGGTGGCTGAATTAGTGCGGCGTCCTGCTCTGCTGGTAAGTGCGGAAGTTCAGATTTGACTCCTGACTGAGGCAATATTTCTTGCAGCATTAACAATATAAATCTCTACAAGTTCCGGGAGGATCATTTAATCCGTGAGAATTTGCGTGTGATTTTTTGAGAAATAACTAAAACAATTGCTGAGATTTTCGAGTGTTATTGACGCTCGTTAAACCCAAGAGTATAAAAGTCCAAGTTCATCTTCAGACGTTTCTATAACCAATAAAATGAATCATAACATAATGATCTGAAGAACTCAAGATAGTCAAAATAGTCTTTGATTTAAGATCCGACTCTTAAACTCAAAATAATCTTTGATATAAGATCCGACTATTAATACGGAGATTAGTGGTAGAGATAAGTTACTGAAAGCGCCAATATCGCAGACAAAAATGAAACGGAAGAACTTCTGTTCATTCATGCGTTTATGTGGACCAGTTTGACCCTCATGCAACTGCTTACGGATTAATGGGGTATTAATTAGTATTAATTGCAGATTAAAGAGGATCATGTTCGACGTGGAAATGAGATGATTATTACGTACAGTATCACTCATATGCAGCAAATCCGGAAATATGGCCCGGCCATATACGTGATACTGCCGAACAATTTTATCTTCTCGCTGAAATCAATTTCGTATCAACACTTGCTTTGGCTTTCATTTGCTTATCGTTCTTATTCTTGCATACAACGTTACCGATATATATGTGAAAACGCGGTGTGTGTGACGTTAAATCGTTTCAAATAGCGATGTAATGGAAACACTCTGTCGCGCGGAAAGCAAACTGCGTCTTGTCGATTTGCGTTACGTCGTCTTTTCTATCTGCGAGCTCTGGTCTATTTGCGATGCGTAGTTTCGCCCTCCTTCCTTCAATCTTCCTCGTCTCTTCCCTTTTTGCACGTGCCACCGACAGAATCGAGATATCTATTTGCGTGCACGCGCAGCTGTGGGCAGGCGAGTTTTTATCGTCACGATTGGGGTTAGCTTTTGAGATATCCTCTGAACGCCGTCGTCGGGCGATTGTCGAGCGAACGTTTTATTGTTTCGCAATGTCGAACTTGCGGGTTAACTGTCCACTGAAATCTGGGTCGATAAACTTCGCTTTCGAACTTTTCACCCGCTCAGCATCATGGAAAAAGAACAAGAAGAAGAAGAAAAAGAAATAAATAGTTCCTTCGTTTCTAATAAAA